ATTCTTCCAGTATCTTCTACTTAATTATGGTTGAGAGGGTATCTATAGGGGTAATTTAAAAAAATTAATAAATATGATAAATAAGTCTTATATTTAAGACCAAAATTAACTTAATACTCCTCCGGTCCTTATTATAAGACCCCATTTGACTTTTTATTTGGTCCTAATTATAAGACCCTAATCCATTTTGTCTCTTATACTTATGCATTTTTTTTCAAGATAATCCTTCTAATAATGATAGTTTTAGCCAATATACTTAATTAGCAAGGATATTTTAGGAATGACAACACTTATTTATTATAAATAACCAACTTAACTTACTTCCTTAATCTCCTCAAATAAATCAATTGGGTTTTATAATTAGGACCGGAGGAGTAATTAAGTTTTATATTAAAAAACTAGAGGAGTATATACTAAAAGGTCCGGCACGTTGTTGACGGGGGAACATGCACTTTGGAATTTCCAAGTCCACGTCCAAAATGTCAAAGTCTTCCACTGCACTTTGGAATTTCCAAGTCCACGTCCAAAATGTCAAAGTCTTCCACTTGAAGAGGAAGAAGCACGCAAATGACACTTTTCGTATGGCGTTAGGTGCAAATCAACTTTCAAAAGTATGAGCATTAATACAACTTCTTATTCAGTAAAAGTATATTTTGAATACAGATTATATATAATTCATAATTGTTTCTAATACTGCTTAAATTTTGGGAACACGCAGATGTTTTTGTTAGATAAATGAAGAGCTTGAGTCTTTCGCCTCGCTGAAAAATGTCAACTTTATTTTCAATTTTGTCAGATATTAGAATTAGAATTTAATCTAAATGCAAAGTTTAGTTCGAAACTCAAGTTTCCAAATCAAATTTTGAACGCCTCTTTCATTTTGGAAGTCTTTGAAGTCTCTCTGAGGACAACTCTGCTTTCTTCCTTGGATCTTGACTAATTTAATTTGCCATTACATGTAAAAAAAAAAGTAATGTTACTACCAGAAAAAGAAAACACACAACAGATTTTAAAAAAGGGTTAAGGTGCAATTTTAACAACAAAGTTTACCCAAAGGAGCATTAGGCACCATAAAGTTTATTTAGGTGCAAAAATATACATGAAGTTGTCAAAAGGGAGCATCTGGCACCATGTCGTTAACGTCCGTCAGTTTACCGTTTGAGGGGCTCAGAAAGTCAGTTTTAAGGTGCATTTTTAATAACAAAGTTTGCATCAAGGGGTATTAGGCACCATGAAATTTACTTGGGTGCAAAAATATATATGAACTTTGTAAAAGAAAAAAAAATAACAAAATTCTTCAACTTCCATAAATGTCCATTAATTTTATTCTTTTGGGACTCACCAAATGCTATATTTTCTCTACATCAATTTTCACTTTCAAGTCGATCCATCTTTCTCTCATCATAGTCAACATGCATACTCTCTCTGTTATGTTGTTTTCTTAGCCTCCAAGCTTTTTATATGTATTTAATCAAAACATATCTTTCCCTTCTAGGATATGAGGTTTATTGCTTGTACCTGAGTACTACCTCCAGTCCTTAATATAGGATGCAATGGACTAATTTGAGGAGATTAAAAATAAATAAATAAATTACTTTAAAATATTATATTTATTGTTTTTTCTTCAAATTAATTTTCTTGGCTTGTAAACTACTCCTCCGGTCCTTAATATAGGACCCAATTAGTGAGTTGGTTTTGGTCCTAAATATAAGACCCATTTCTCATATTTATCAATTTTCTCTAAATTACCTCTATGGATACTCTTTTAACCATAATAAAGTAGAAGAAGAAAATATGGTATTAAAAAAGATGATTATGGTATTTTAGGAAAAACGTGTCACATTTCTTATAATTAACTAACTTACCTAACTTCCTTAATCTAATCAAATTAGTTAAATGACTCTTATATTAAGGATCGGAGGAGTAATATATAATTTAATGATGTATATAAATATTTTAGAGAGATCATGTACTATATGCTATTGCGTCAAATAAATAAATAATATAATATTTAAAGTAATTTATTTATTTATTTTAATTTCCTCAAATTAGTCCATTGGATCCTATATTAAGGACTGGAGGTAGTACTTGGATGCAAGTAATGAACCTCATATCCTAGAAGGGAAAGATGTGTTTTGCTTAAATACATATAAAAGGCTTGGAGGCTCAGAAAACAACATGACAGAGAGAGTGTACGTATTGACTATGATGAGAGAAAGATGGATTGGCTTGGAAGTGGAAATTTATAGTGAGAAAATATAGCATTTGATGAGACCAAAAACAATAAAATTAATGGATGTTTATGAAGGTTGAAGAATTTTGTTATTTTTTTTCCTTTTACAAAGTTCATGTATATTTTTACACCCAAGTAAATTTCATGGTGCCTAATGCCCCTTGATGCAAACTTTGTTGTTAAAAATGCACCTCAAAACTGATTTTCTGGGCCCCTTTAACGGTAAACTGACGGATGTTAACGGCATGGTGCCAGATGCTCCCTTTTGACAACTTCATGTATATTTTTGCACCCAAATAAACTTTATGGTGCCCAATGCTCTTTCGGGTAAACTTTGTTGTTAAAATTGCACCTTAACCCTTTAAAAAATTAATATTTTCTAAAAAAAATAGAACTATAATGTCCGTTTAAGTTCAAATTTTAACAATTTAAAGTCTTTAGCCTTGCTATTTTTAAAACTGGAATGTAAAAATGGATCACTGCACTCTCCAATATCAATATATATAGTATTTTAAATTCATCGTCTTGTATATTGGAAGTCATGTGTCCTCCAATATTTCAAAGTCATATATTCTTTGGCAAAAGATAAAAGTCCATATATTCTTATTCCTTCAATTTTGGAATGAAGTGTCACTCTCATGGTGGATAAAAACACTGTGGAAGAAAATGAAACTGCGTGGAAATTTACTATGCAATAATACAAAGGGCAATTCTCGTGCTGGCAACCAATACTTTGTCTCTGTTTTTAATCACTATTAAGTTAAAATGATATATACGGTGTAGCAAACAATTCCAAATCATTCATATATCCAAATCTCTCTGTTTATTTACTCAAGATCTCGGATTTAGAAAATTTAAAGCCTGTTTTATATAATTTTGAATTTATATTGAGAGTCTGTATATCCTCCAACACTATCATGAAGACAACAAAATCTTGCCTATAAATACATGGCCTTTGTGGTGCTTGTTCTCTCGCATAGCAAACTGCATCATAACCTTGTATCCATAGCGTAAGGATGGTAGATATGAGGTTTGTTGTTGCTTGCCTAGTGCTTTTAGTGCATTATTCTTGCGGGGCACTTGCAGTTGGCAACACTACTGTCAAGTGCAGAGTCAAGGAACGAGTCTCCCTTCTTTCTCTCAAGCGTGGCTTTGTTGATCCCTATGGCTGCCTCTCTTCCTGGGGAAGTTCAGAGAACCACACAGATTGTTGCACAAGGGTTGGTGTTTCCTATGACAGCCGAACAGGCCATGTGGATACACTCTATCCTTTTTATTGCGGGTTGGAAGGTGCAATTTCTTCGTCATTAGCTGAATTGCATCATTTGAATTATTTGATCCTTGTTGGCCAAAATTTCTCTCCAGCTAAATTCCCAGACTCCATTCTTTCTTTAAAGAGATTGCAATATCTCGATCTCTCCTTCACAAATTTGACAGGAAACATTCCTCCCAATTTGGGATATTTGTCTCGCTTGCAAACACTTCGCCTTCAAGGAAACCAGCTTGAAGGTGGCATATCCAAATCCTTGGCTTTATGCCACTTAACAGAGTTGGATCTATCTCACAACTCCTTGAGTGGGCAATTAGATGACTTCGTTGCATCATTCGACCACTGTGCCAACATATCACTATAGACCTTAGATTTATCTTATAATCGGTTTACGGGTTCGGTACCTAATTTATCACGGTTCTCATTTTTGGAAAGATTAGATCTCTCCAACAATCAACTCAACAGAACTGTAAATGATGGCATTGGATTATTGTCAAAGCTACAGTGGTTAGACATTGCTGCTAATTTCTTGCACGGTGTCATAACTGAAACTCATTTCTCAAGACTCTCTCAGCTAGGGTCCTTGGACATGTCTCTTAACAACTTGGAATTTAAAATCAGTCCTGATTGGATCCCCCCTTTTCAGTTATTCCACATTCATTTAAGATCATGTAAGTTGGGCCCTGGCTTTCCAAATTGGCTTCGAACCCAGAAGTCGGATTTGTCATTAGATATTTCAAATGCTGAAATTTCTGGTATGATGCCAAGTTGGTTTTGGGATTTGTCATTTGAATCCATGAACCTTTCACACAACCAAATGACTGGAGAAATACAAAATTTTCAACTCAGAAATGGTTCTTTGACTCAGAATCTGGATTTGAGCTCAAATTTGTTCGAAGGCTCAATTCCATCAAATTTATCACATGCAGTCTTCGGATTATTTCTATCTAATAATAAATTCAGAGATGCTAGTACTTTCTTATGTCCGAACAAGACCATGGAATTGCAGGTCTTAGATCTCTCAAACAATCAACTATCAGGAGTGCTTCCAGATTGTTGGAAATATTTTGAATCATTAGTCCTTCTTGATGTTGCAAACAATAGCCTATACGGAGAAATTCCAACATCAATGGGTTCATTGATAAATACAAAATCCTTGCATTTAGGATTCAATAAATTTTCGGGTGAAATACCTTTTTCTCTGAATAAATGCACGAAGCTAGTGGTTTTTGATGCTGTCGGAAATGATTTTTCGGGATTAGTACCACGCTGGATTGGAGATGGGCTTAAGACTCTAAGCGTCCTCATTTTGAGATCCAACATGTTTTTTGGGAGCTTGCCACTTAATATTTGTAATCTCCCGCAACTTCAAATCCTTGACCTTTCGATGAATAATATTTCCGGAAGTTTGCCAAAATGCCTCAACCATCTTTCTGCTTTGAAGAATCAAATAAATTTTGATGCAACAGTATGGTATGGTAATGTTGATCCCTCAACAAAGGACATTGCAACACTGGTATGGAAAGGTAAGGTGTCCAAATACCAAAGTATATTGAGATTAGTTAAAAGCATTGACCTCTCTTGCAACATGTTGACGGGAGAAATTCCAAGTGAACTGATGGATCTTGTTGAATTGGTCGCCTTAAACATTTCAAGAAACATGCTCAGTGGACAAATCCTTGCCACCATTGGACAACTGAAGTCACTGGACTTTCTTGATTTGTCAAGGAACCACTTATCTGGACACATTCCTTCAGAACTTTCACAAGTGGATCGTCTTGGTGTGACGGATTTATCACACAACAATTTGTCAGGAGAAATTCCTCATGGCACTCAACTTCAAAGCTTTGATCCCTCTGCTTATGAGGGAAATGCTCATCTATGCGGTGCTCCCCTTCCAAAATGTCCCACAAGCCCAACACAAGATCATCCAAATGATGAGAATTCTGAAGAAGATGAACAAATTGTCGGTCGAGGTTTCTTTATCAGCTCGTCCATCGGATTTGGAACAGGATTTTGGGGAATTTGCAGCTTAATATTTCTGAACAAATCCTTCAGATATTCCTATTTTAGGTTAATGAGTGGCATACATGACAAAGTGTACGTGATCGTTGCTATAAATGTGGCCAAACTGCGCAGGTGGAGGAGAGGTTCAACTTGAAGGTACGTAATTAGTATTTGTTTTCCATTTCTCTTGTGTTCATAAATCATTTTTTATTTTTTCTGCAAGGGAACTACTAATTTTGTTATAATATATAATTAAATACAGTCTTTGGGAGGGACTTGGGTGTTTTTACTTAGGGGAAAAAACTTCGAAAACTAAAGTTTTTTTTTTTCAGTTCAGAGGAGAAACAGAAAGCTAATGTTTTTAGCCTCTTAAGAATGAGTAAATGCACTATATATATTTTGGAAGTATATTTTGAAGATTCTTTGGATCAATAAATAAAGAGTAAAATACACTGATTACCCTCTTATTTTATCTCAATTACGGATACCTCTCCTTGATTTTGAAAACGTATATCAACCTCCCTTACAGTTAAAACATATGTTACACAAACCTCTCTCTTATATTTAAGATTTTATTTCTATCCACCCAAACCGTTAATTGACCGTTAAGTTTGACTTTAAATTATTTTTTTATAACCAAAATGCCCCTTTTTGAATAAATAATTATTTAGACATTTATATTTTCCAAGAAATATTTTTATAAAATCAAAACATAATTATCTTTAAAATTTCTAATATGGTATAAATTTTTTAAATTTTGATCTAAATCATAAGATTTTATAATTTCATATTTTACTTTAAATCATAAAATTAGTTAAATTTTTAATCAACTCTTTTATGTTTGCCTTAACTAAATAAAATTGACGTAATTGTAAAAATATAGTTTAAGAATTTATTAGAATGAGGAGTAAAATAATCAATAAATGTTATTTTGATATGAATTTATTAGAATGAGGAGTAAAATAATCAATAAACTTCAAAAACTAAAGTTTTTTTTGCAGTACACAGAAGAAACAGAAAGCTAATATTTTTAGCCTCTTAAAAATAAGTAAATGCATGATATATATTTTCGATGTATATTTTGAAGATTCTTCGGATGATAAATAAGTGCTACATTTTTCTTATACCACAAGGGAAACCGATCGACAATGTTAAGGGCTTTCTTGCAAAGAACTATTCAAGAAATAGGTATTTATATATGCTGAAACTTGAATGTATATCCTTTTCTGGAACTATGTGTTAAGTTTTTTTTTGGCCAAAAAACTATGTGTTAAGTTAGTTCACTATTTTTCAGCACTTTGACTTTGTTGACTAACAAACTACTTCTACTTTTGATCTATCGATATTGCAGTCCTTTACGTGGGGAAGCTAGCTGCTTCACAAGTTTGCCCTGTAAGGTTCTTCCATCGTCATCCGATGAGTACTAAACTATTAAGGCATTTGTTTTATCCATCTGCTGTGCAAGTTTGCGACGGAAAATTAAACGAGCTATGTTTGCGATAATTGTTCAAGCCTTTTATGTTCTGCTAGTTTAGTTTGCAAAATAAATAAATAATTGTACTGTAAAATCGGACACTGGTTTTTCGGAGTCAATATATCGACATGTGCTTGTTGTGTGGTTTGATTTGAGATATTGCTTTGAGCTTCAAACTGATTCGCGGTATGTGTAAGAATAATTGTGAAAATTATCCTTCATGATGCTTTTGAGCACAAACTTATTGGTACGTACGTGTTGTTCTAATAAGGTGAGCTTAAATATTGAACATTCATTGCTTTGTTTAGAAACAGGGTAGGGAGAATTTTTCTTCCTATTAAAGAGGTGGGGTTTGTAAGTTATTATATATGAATAAACTACGTGAAGATCATGCGATCTAAAATAGAGTATTTTCTATGGTTTTTTTTTATATTATATATAAATATATTTCACAAAATATTTATAATTATTATTGTTTAGTCATAGATTTATTTTCACGTTTAAATTTATTTTTAAAAAAAAAATAATCCAAATTTTCACATCATTTCAATCAGATTCTATGACTATTAAAATGAAAAATTAAAAAAGAAAAATAAACAGTGTTAAATACAAATTATCCGAATTTAATTTATTAAATTATTCAAAGTTAATTTAGAAAATTAATATTTGGCTCTCTCACGAATTATAGATTAATTCACTAATTTTCACGTGTGCATCACAAATTTCCAAAATTTGCACGATAATTTAGGGATACAATCGCAACAATTGCATGTAGCAAGGGGGCAAATTGCTACGAAACTTCATCCCAGAATCCTACCCCGACTTTGGCCCAAAAAGGAATAATCCTACCCGACCCAATTTTCCATTTTCATTCGGGTCGGAGCGTCACCGGTCGCGCTCCTTTGAACAAGAGAGCGCAAATGTCAACACGCGGCCAAACCGATGACACAGTGATCGGGTGCGACGCAAATTTTACTCTGCGAAATGTTCCTGCGCACGGTTGCACGGCCATTGATGGCCAAAGTGAAGGAGACGACGGGGATCGTGGGCCTGGATGTGGTGCCGAACGTGCGGGAGGTTCTGATCGGTCTCTACACTAAACCCTGAAGGAGGTCCAGGCCGTCCTTGAGGATGAACGCTGCCGTAAGGCCCTAGAGAGCTTCACAAGGCAGAGGCTCAACGTTTGCGAGGAAGAGGAGAATTGGGAAATGATCGAGAAGCGCCTTGGCTGTGGCCAGGTCGAGGAGCTCATCGAAGAGGGTCAGTATGAGCTCACACTCATCAGCAAAATGATCGGTATTGAATGTTGATGTATCCCTTTTTCTTTCTGCTGTTGGGATTGATGATAATGATCGGTGTTGATGAATGTTGGCAAGAAAATTACTTTTGGTGAGGAAGGGAAATTGTGGAAAATTTAACTCAACATAGAAAAGTTAGCTGATTTAGCTGCGTTGTTATCCGTGTAATAATTATTTCGTTGGTGAGAATTTGGAGGACCGGGAAATCAGTCTCGTGATGATTGTATAATGTATTTAGTGGAGTATGAAAGGAAGCTTTTATCTGAATTTCTTCTTTGTATTTATTTCCATTTGTGAACCACTGTATAGCATGAAATTGTTTCACTGTTTATCTGCATTACAAACCACTCTGTTTCTTGGTTGGTGGAGGCTCTGCTTTGTCTAGTGAGACTCCTATTGCTTTTCAAGCCAAAAATGATGTGAAAAGTACTAAAATAGGTCCAGAATATAGACATTCCATTTTTATTTGCTCTACGAAGTACACGGTTAAGTTGCAACATTAAAAACTTAGTATGTGGCATGGATTTTAACTTCCTCTTTGCACTCTTGTTCTTGAACCACGTACTAGTTCTCTCGAACTAGGTATTATATATGCCAGTGCCAAATAAAGCTCTGATCGAAAGAGTTGAATCCCAACAATCTTATCAAGCGGAAATACATCCTGTGAAATAGATCAAATATTCTTCCGAAGATTTTGTTCATCCTTCTAGTTTGAGAAGAATATGTGATATATATAGACGACTGATAAAAAAAAAAAAATTTTCCCTGAGAATAAGTGCAGGTTATGCTTCAGTGTATCGTTGGCATTTCTTGGTTACCCGTCGGGTGAGTTTCTAATTCCCAATAATTCAACCTCACGTACCAGAACTCACAGGTGGCAGTGGATGAAAATTGCAGAAAATACAGAAGACTTGCCTGGCGATAGAAGAGCCAGCAACCTCCCAGCTGAAGCTTCTTCAAAAATCTTCTCTGGCTGTTACAGTAGCTGCCTTGGTTCATTCCCTTCCCTGTTTCTCATGCAGCCCTCTCCAAGGCTCTCGACTCTCCCAATTAATACGACTATGTAGAAACTCCTTTTAACCTTAGCCCACACCTGTAACTATATAATATGGGGCAAATCGTATGTAAAGATGAGTTACCAGACAATTTGGTGGACATCATTTATCCTAGAATAATATCCTTGATCACTAAAGTAAAATCATTCTGGCCATTATATGTCTTGCATTTTTAAGATCTTTACTTTGATGAGTTGGTACGATTTTAGCTGTCTCTATTGGAATAATGTGAATCCACTTTTAGAAATAATGTAAAACGTAAGATTTAATGAGTGTGCGCGCGCGGCGCTCATGCTTTATGTTGAATGCAGAGTGGAATCCATGGGGTGTCCCAGATGATTATTAATGTGAAGTTGTTGAGAATGATGCGCCAATTCCTAAGCATATTCCTTACCATCGACCTCCTCCTCTCCCTGAAGAATTTTTCAAGACGCTAGAGGCTGCTTCATCTCAACCCGAAAAGGACACTCCTGCGGTCAGCCAACGTGAATCAACCTCAAAGGCATGCAGCTCTATGCTAAGCAGTTCTTTGGTCTGTCGATTAACTTGATCAAAAGGAAATCACAAGAAAATTCCTTGTCTCTTTACTTTGTTTCATATAGGTGCGATTAGCATGTAGCTCTATCCACGACTTTGGTCTGTGCTCATACTCCCCCTTGTCATTGTGGACGAGATCCTAATGTCTGGGGAACTTAATAAATGGACGATTTTTTTTTTTTTGGGCCTTTAGTGTATCTTCATTGGCTCAGGTATGTTGCATGATTTTGTGCATGATGGTAGAGATTAGAACAAAAGATGAGTAATGGAGACAAAAAAGGAAAAGACTTGCCAACTGATTGCCAAAAGCAGGATGAAGTGAAGATTTCTCACAGTTGTACTGGAAAAGAGTGAACGGAAAAGGGAACAGCAAAATGAAGAACACAGTCATCCCAATTTGTGTATGTTGTGAGACAAAACACCATCTGGATCTTTTGCTTGGTCGTGACAGGATTCCAACTTCCAACTTCATGCCACGCTTTAAATTCATGATACTCGTCTTTTTAGTTATTTATTTGAAATCTTTTACTTTGTTAAGATAAGAAAGAGTTATTAGGTAGTTACAATGAGAGCTAATACAACACTATTTGAATGTGATAAGAAATTCTGATTCTGAGAAACTTTTGGGACGGTCTATAAGAAGGGAAAAATTGAAACAAATGATGTCCTATTTGATAGCTTTAGATTTGTGGATACAGCATCTCTCAATATCTTTTCGTTGCCATTAAATTCTTTTCTTGTGTTGTCTTCTACCTGCAACAAATTTTTTTTTTCCCGGGTTAGATACCTGTAACAATTTATATATGAACCTTGCGATCAGAGGAAGGAAGGACATCAAGCTTCTTTTCCAGGACCAAACACACGTGCGCATTGATGATGCATAACTAAATTTAAGATAGGATCAGATTTCGATAATATTGTGATCAGAGTTGAAAACTTAAAATCCTCAAGATATAGCTGGAAAAAAAGTTAGGGTCTTTTAAAACAAAATTATTTTTTTCAAAAAAAAAAAAAAAGATCATACACACTGACACTTTTAACAATCTCCTTTTTTCTTATTGATTGTTCTGATTCTGGCAATTGGACTTATTAAGTAAAAATTTCCTTGGTGATTACATGGTTATTTGGGATCATAAATGACTTCAATTGTCTGGAGCACTATTCATTAAAGTTTCAATATTTCAAGACTAAATTTTCAATTTCATATGGGCACATACTCGGGAGGATAAGTCTCAAACAGAGAGTGAGGTCTGAGTACCATGGCGTGTCGAGACAGCAGGCACGAGCAATACGGGAGGAAGCAGCATGGACTAGCCCGTTTACATCATCTGTGCTCCACATTGAACGGTTATCTACGAAAGAGGAAAACGTCAGGATCCATTATATTTATCACCACTCCATTTTCGACACCTAAGAGGATGCTTAATGCAGGTTAGACTAGACTTGTGAAGACTATGACATTGCAGAGAGAGCTAACTTCTTGATCTTGCCGCTTCCAACACGGTAGCTTTCAGAGCTTAAACGGCAATCACGGAAGCAATGAAAGCATTTGGAAAAATATAAATGAGCAAAGTAAAGGGTTCAGAGATAACAAGAGAGAGAGAGAGAGTGTGTGTGTACAAAATACGGCAGGGACGGAGAATCGGGCGGCCATGGTTGGTTCGGTGATCATCATCGTCAGGCGTTCAAATAGTGAAGAGTATGATATTATCCACAAGCATTTTCAGTTCCAGGGGAAGAGTGCGGGAGGATGAGGCACTCTTGGCTTTGTTCGGCTATGATCCTGTACAGCGGCCCACACTCTATCCGGAGGCCTCTCCTAATCTGATTGGCGCATCATCAAAGCCGAATATCCTTTTCGTAATAACTTTATATCCAAAAGGCAAATTAATGCAGTACTGTGCTACCAACCCTTTTAGAACTGGACCAGTCACTGGACTAGCAGCGGCACCGCTTGTTGGTAAAATCGGTCTCACTTAAAATAATATAATTTAAAATTATGTACAAAATAATAAAAATATTATAGACAATATTTATCTATATTTTCCTATGATAAATCACAAAAAATTACAAACTATTAAAATCATCAAATATCTCATATTAATGAAAAACCTTATCGAATTTGAATGAAGTTGTAGGGGGGGAAAAAAGGCTTATAAGAGACTTTCTCCTCCCATCTCGCTCATAAATTAAAGATGAGGATACGTTGGATTGTTACAAAAATTAAGTGAGAATGATGCCAGATAAAAGTTCATTATTTAACAAAAAGCTAATATTTTCTGAGAGTTGATCTAGTCCGCTCCCTAGAATTTGAAACCAGTAAAATACTGTTCCAGAAATTAAAAAAAAAATTAAACAGATTAAAATGAAGTCAAATTTTAATATTGTAATTGTTCCTCCTTGAAAAATATGAAATTTTTTGAATTATTTACAATTTTAATCAATTCTATGTAAGATTTTAGATTAATCAAGGTAATGAAATGTGCGCATGTGCGTGTCCAATCACTTTATAATTCTAAAGAACATATGCTCTGAATTTACCCGTGGAATCAAGGTTAAGAAAAAAAAAGAATTTACCCGTGTAAGAATTTAAAACAAAATATTCCTCTGGTTTTAATATAAAACCTATTTAACTAATTTGATTAAATTAAGAAATTTAGATAATTTAGTTAATTATAAGAAATATGATATGGTTTTCCTAAAACACCATAATCATCATTCTTAATATTCTCCCACTATCTTCTACTTAATTATGGTTGAGAGAGTATCTATAGGGGTAATTTAGAAAAAAATTAATAAATATGAGAAATAAGTCTTATATTTAAGACTAAAATCAACTTAATAATTAGGTTTTATATTAAAAAACCAGAAGAGTATATACTAAAAAGGTCGGGCACGTTGTTGACGGGGGAACATGCACTTTGGAATTTCCAAGTCCACGTCCAAAACGTCAAAGTCTTCCACTGCACTTTGGAATTTCCAAGTCCACGTCCAAAACGTCAAAGTCTTCCACTGCACTTTGGAATTTCCAAGTCCACGTCCAAAATGTCAAAGTCTTCCACTTGAAGAGGAAGAAGCACGCAAATGACACCTTTCGTATGGCGTTAGGTGCAAATCAACTTTCAAAAGTATGAGCATTAATACAACTTCTTATTCAATAAAAGTATATTTTGAATACAGATTATATAAAATTCATAGTTGTTTCCAATACTGCTTAAATTTTGGGAACACGCAGATGTTTTTGTTAGATAAATGAAGAGCTTGAGTCTTTCGCCTCGCTGAAAAATGTCAACTTTATTTTCAATTTTGTCAGATATTAGAATTAGAATTTAATCTAAATGCAAAGTTTAGTTCGAAACTCAAGTTTCCAAATCAAATTTTGAACGCCTCTTTCATTTTGGAAGTCTTTGAAGTCTCTCTGACGACAACTCTGCTTTCTTCTTTGGATCTTGACTAATTTAATTTGCTATTACATGTAAAAAAAAGTAATGTTACTACCAGAAAAAGAAAACACACAACAGATTTTAAAAAATTAATATTTTCTAAAAAAAATAGAGCTATAATGTCTGTTTAAGTTCAAATTTTAACAATTTAAAGTCTTTAGCCTTGCTATTTTTAAAACTGGAATGTAAAAGTGGATCACTGCACTCTCCAATATCAATATATATAGTATTTTAAATTCATCGTCTTGTACTACTTCCGGTCTTTATTATAAGACCCCATTTGACTTTTTGTTTGGTCCTAATTATAAGACCCCGATCCATTTTGTCTCTCATATTTATGCATTTTTCTCCAAGATAATCCTTCTAATAATAATAGTTCTAGCTAATATACTTAACTAGTAAGGATATTTTAGGAATGACAACACTTATTTATTACAAATAAGTAACTTAACTTACTTCCTTAATCTCCTCAAATAAGTCAATTGGGTCTTATAATTAGGACCGGAGGTAATATATTGGAAGTCATGTGTCCTCCAATATTTCAAAGTCATATATTCTTTGGCAAAAGATAAAAGTCCATATATTCTTATTCCTTCGATTTTGGAATGAAGTGTCACTCTCATGGTGGATAAAAACACTATGGAAGAAAATGAAACTGTGTGGAAATTTACTATGCAATACTACAAAGGGCAATTCTCGCGGTGGCCAACGAATACTTTGTCTCTGTTTTTAATCACTATTAAGTTAAAATGATATATATGGTGTAGCAAATAATTCCAAATCATTCATATATCCAAATCTCTTTGTTTATTTATTCAAGATCTTCGATTTAAAAAATTTAAAGCCTATTATATATAATTTTGAATTTATATTGAGAGTCTGTATATCCTCCAATACTATCATGAAGACAACAAAATCTTGCCTATAAATACATGGCCTTTGTGGTGCTTGTTCTCTCGCATAGCAAACTGCTTCATAACCTTATATCCACAGCGTAAGGATGGTAGATATGAGGTTTGTTGTTGCTTGCCTAGTGCTTTTAGTGCGTTATTCTTGCGGGGCACTTGCAGTTGGCAACACTACTGTCAAGTGCAGAGTCAAGGAACGAGTCTCCCTTCTTTCTCTCAAGCGTGGCTTTGTTGATCCCTGTGGCTGCCTCTCTTCCTGGGGAAGTTCAGAGAACCACACAGATTGTTGCACATGAGTTGGTGTTTCCTGTGACAGCCAAACGGGCCATGTGGATACACTCGATCGTTTTTATTGCGGGTTGGAAGGTGCAATTTCTCCGTCATTAGCTGAATTGCATCATTTGAATTATTTGAACCTTGGTGGCCAAAATTTCTCTCCAGCTAAATTCCCAGACTCCATTCTTTCTTTAAAGAGATTGCAATATCTCGATCTCTCCTTCACAAATTTGACAGGAAACATTCCTCCCAATTTGGGATATCTGTCTCGCTTGCAAACACTTTACCTTCCGGGAAACCAGCTTGAAGGTGGCATACCCAAATCCTTGGCTTTATGCCACTTAACAGAGTTGGATCTATCTGAAAACTCGTTGAGTGGACAATTAGATGACTTCGTTGCATCATTCGACCATTGTGCCAACATATCACTACAGTTCTTAGATTTATCTCATAATCGGTTTACGGGGTCGGTACCTAATTTCTCACGGTTCTCATTTTTGGAAACATTAGATCTCTCCAACAATCAACTCAACGGAACTATAAATGATGGCATTGGATTATTGTCAAAGCTACAGGAGTTAGACATTACTACTAATTTCTTGCACGGTGTCATAACTGAAACTCATTTCTCGAGACTCTCTCAGCTAGAGTACTTGGACTTGTCTCTCAACAACCTGGAATTTAAAGTCAGTCCTGATTGGATCCCCCCTTTTCAGTTATACTACATTCATTTAAGATCATGTAAGTTGGGCCCTGGCCTTCCAAATTGGCTTCGAACCCAAAAGTCAGATTTGTCATTAGATATTTCAAATGCTGAAGTTTCTGGTATGATGCCAAGTTGGTTTTGGGATTTGTCATTTCGATTCATGAACCTTTCACACAACCAAATGACTGGAGAAATACCAAATTTCCAACTTGGAAATAGATCTCGTACTGTGGATCTGGATTTGAGCTCAAATTTGTTTGAAGGCTCAATTCCATCAAATTTATCATGTACAGCCTGGGCATTGTTTCTATCTAATAATAAATTCATGGATGCTAGTACTTTCTTATGTCCGAATGAGACCGTGAAATTAGAGATCCTAGATCTCTCAAACAATCAACTATCAGGAGTGCTTCCAGATTGTTGGAAATATTTTGAATCATTAGCCCTTCTTGATGTTGCAAACAATAGCCTATACGGAGAAATTCCAACATCAATGGGTTCATTGATGAATATACAATCCTTACATTTAGGATTCAATAAATTTTCGGGTGAAATACCTTTGTCTCTGAATAAATGCACGGAGCTAGTGGTTTTTGATGCTGTCGGAAATGATTTTTCGGGATTAGTACCACACTGGATTGGAGATGGGCTTAAGGGGCTAAGCATCCTCATTTTGAGATCCAACATGTTTTTTGGGAGCTTGCCACTCAATATTTGTAATCTCTCTCAACTTCAAATCCTCGACCTTTCGATGAATAATATTTCTGGAAGTTTGCCAAAATGCCTCAGCCATCTTTCTGCTTTGAAGAATCAAACAAATTTTGATGCAAGAGTACTGTATAAAAAGTCACATTTTGATTTTTCTTCACCCCGCTCGACAGAGGACATTGCAACACTGGTATGGAAAGGTAAGGTGTCCAAATACCAAAGTATATTGAGATTTGTTAAAAGCATCGACCTCTCTTGCAACATGTTGACGGGAGAAATTCCAAGTGAACTGATGGATCTTGTTGAATTGGTCGCCTTAAACATGTCAAGAAACATGCTCAGTGGACAAATCCCCGCCACCATTGGACAACTGAAGTCACTGGACTTTCTTGATTTGTCAAGGAACCACTTATCTGGACACATTCCTTCAGAACTTTCACAAGTGGATCGTCTTGGTGTGACGGATTTATCACACAACAATTTGTCAGGAGAAATTCCTCATGGCACTCAACTTCAAAGCTTTGATCCCTCTGCTTATGAGGGAAATGCTCATCTATGCGGTGCTCCCCTTCCAAAATGTCCCACAAGCCCAACACAAGATCATCCAAATGATGAGAATTCTGAAGAAGATGAGCAAATTTTCGGTCGAGGTTTCTTTATCAGCTCGTCCATCGGATTCGTAACAGGATTTTGGGGAATTTGCAGCCTAATATTTCTGAACAAATCCTTCAGATATGCCTATTTTAGGTTAATGAGTGGCATATATGACAAAGTGTACGTGATCGTTGCTATAAATGTGGCCAAACTGCGCAGGTGGAGGAGAGGTTCAACTTGAAGGTACGTAATTAGTATTTGTTTTCCATTTCTCTTCTGTTCATATATCATTTTGTATTTTTTCTGCAAGGGAACTAATAATTTTGTTATAATATATAATTAAATACAGTGTCTGGGAGGGACTTGGGTGTTTTTATTTAGGGGAAAGAACTTCGAAAACTAAATTTTTTTTTTCAGTTCAGAGAAGAAACAGAAAGCTAATGTTTTTAGCCTCTTAAGAATAAGTAAATGCGCTATATATATTTTGGAAGTATATTTTGAAGATTCTTCGGATCAATAAAAAAAGAGTAAAATACATTGATTAACCTCTTATTTTATCTCAATTACAGAAACCTCTCTTTGATTTTGAAAACGTATATAAACCTCCCTTACAGTTAAAACATATGTTACACAAACCTTTCTCTTATATTTAAGATTTTATTTCTATCCACTCAAACCGTAATTGACTGTTAAGTTTGACTTTAAATTATTTTTTTAACCAAAATGCCCCTTTTTGAATAAATAATTATTTAGACATTTATATTTTTCAAGAAATATTTTTATAAAATCAAAACATAATTATCTTTAAAATTTCTAATATTGTATAAATTTTTTTAATTTTGATCTAAATCATAAGATTTTATAATTTCATATTTTACTTTAAATAATAAAATTAGTTAAATTTTTAATCAAATCTTTTATGTTTGCCTTAACTGAATGAAATTGACGTAATTATAAAAATGTAGTTTAAGAATTTATTAGAATGAGGAGTAAAATAATCAATAAATTTTATTTTGATATAAATTTTAGTTAAAAATAATATTTTTAAAATATTCCTAACGGTGTTAACTAATTGGACCAAACTTTATATTTTTAAAGTAGAAGAGAGGTCCGTGTAATTGATATAAATTAGAAGGGTAGTCAGAGTATTTTACTTTAAGGTCCAGAGGTAGTATCATTTTGTATTTTTTCTGCAAGGGAACTAATAATTTCATTATAATATATTTTTAAATACATTCTTTGGGAGGGACTTGGGTGTTTTTATTCACGGGAAAATACTTCGAAAACTAAAGTTTTTTTTTGCAGTACACAGAAGAAACAGAAAGCTAATATTTTTAGCCTCTTAAAAATAAGTAAATGCACGATATATATTTTCGAAGTATATTTTGAAGATTCTTCGGATGATAAATAAGTGCTACATTTTTCTTATACCACAAGGGAAACCGATCGACAATGTTAAGGGCTTTCTTGCAAAGAACTATTCAAGAAATAGGTATTTATATATGCTGAAACTTAAATGTATATCCTTTTCTGGAACTATGTGTTAAGTTAGTTCACTATTTTTCAGCACTTTGACTTTGTTGACTAACAAACTACTTCTACTTTTGATCTATCGATATTGCAGTCCTTTACGTGGGGAAGCTAGCTGCTTCACAAGTTTGCCCTGTAAGGTTCTTCCATCGTCATCCGATGAGTACTAAAATGTTAAGGCATTTGTTTTATCCATCTGCTGTGCAAGTTTGCGACGGAAAATTAAACGAGCTATGTTTGTGATAATTGTTCAAGCCTTTTATGTTCTGCTAGTTTAGTTTGCAAAATAAATAAATAATTGCACTGTAAAATCGGACACTGGTTTTTCGGAGTCAATATATCGACATGTGCTTGTTGTGTGGTTTGATTTGAGATATTGCTTTGAGCTTCAAACTGATTCACGGTGTGTGTAAGAATAATTGTGAAAATTATCCTTCATGATGCTTTTGAGCACAAACTTATTGGCACGTGTTGCTCTAATCAGGTGAGCTTAAATATTGAACATCCATTGCTTTGTTTAGAAACAGGGTAGGGAGAATTTTTCTTCCTATTAAAGAGGTGGGGTTTATAAGTTATTATATATGAATAAACTACGTGAAGATCATGCAATCTAAAATAGAGTATTTTCTATGGTTTTTTTTATATTATATATAAATATATTTCACAAAAATATTTATAATTATTATTGTTTAGTTATAGATTTATTTGCACGTTTAAATTTATTTTTTTCAAAAAATTATCCAAATTTTCACATCATTTCAATCAGATTCTATGACTATTAAAATGAAAATTTTAAAAAGAAAAATAAACAGTGTTAAATACAAATTATCCGAATTATTCAAAGTTCATTTAGAAAATTAATATTTGGCTCTCTCACGAATTATAGATTAATTCACTAATTTTCACGTATGCATCACAAATTTCCAAAATTTGTACGATAATTTAGGGATACATTCGCAACAATTGCATGTAGCAAGGGGGCAAATTGCTACGAAACCTCATCCCAGAATCCTACCCCGACTTTGGCCCAAAAAGGAAGAATCCTACCCGACCCAATTTGCAATTTTCATTCGGGTCAGAGCGTCACCGGTCGCGCTCCTTTGAACAAGAGAGTGCAAATGTCAACACGCGGCCAAACCGATGACACAGTGATCGGGTGCGACGCAAATTTTTCTCTGCGAAATGTTCCTGCGCACGGTTGCACGGCCATTGATGGCCAAAGTGAAGGAGACGACGGGGATCGTGGGCCTGGATGTGGTGCCGAACGTGCGGGAGGTTCTGATCGGTCTCTACACTAAAACCCTGAAGGAGGTCCAGGCCGTCCTTGAGGATGAAGGCTACCGTAAGGCCGTAGAGAGCTTCACAAGGCAGAGGCTCAACGTTTGCGAGGAAGAGAGATTGGGAAATGATCGAGAAGCGCCTTGGCTGTGGCCAGGTCGAGGAGCTCATCGAAGAGGCTCAGGATGAGCTCACACTCATCAGCAAAATGATCGGTATTGAATGTTGATGTATCCCTTTTTCTTTCTGCTGTTGGGATTGATGATAATGATCGGTATTGAATGTTGATGTATCCCTTTTTCTTTCTGCTGTTGGGATTGATGATAATGATCGGTATTGAATGTTGGTGTATCCCTTTTTCTTTCTGCTGTTGGGATTGATGATAATGATCGGTGTTGATGAATGTTGGCAAGAAAATTACTTTTGGTGAGGAAGGGAAATTGTGGAAAATTTAACTCAACATAGAAAAGTTAGCTGATTTAGCTGCGTTGTTATCCGTGTAATAATTATTTCGTTGGTGAGAATTTGGAGGACCGGGGAATCAGTCTCGTGATGATTGTATAATGTATTTAGTGGAGTATGAAAGGAAGCTTTTATCTGAATTTCTTCTTTGTATTTATTTCCATTTGTGAACCACTGTATAGCATGAAATTGTTTCACTGTTTATCTGCATTAGAAACCACTCTGTTTCTTGGTTGGCGGAGGCTCTGCTTTGTCTACTGAGACTCCTATTGCTTTTCAAGGCAAAACTTATGTGAAAAGTACTAAAATAGGTCCAGAATATAGACATTCCATTTTTATTTGCTCTACGAAGTACACGGTTAAGTTGCAACATAAAAAAACTTAGTATTTGGCATGAATTTTAACTTCCTCTTTGCACTCTTGTTCTTGAACCACGTACTAGTTCTCTCGAACTAGGTATTATATATGCCAGTGCCAAATAAAGCTCTGATCGAAAGACTTGAATCCCAACAATCTTATCAAGCGGAAATACATCCTGTGAAATAGATCAAATATTCTTCCGAAGATTTTGTTCATCCTTCTAGTTTGAGAAGAATATGTGATATATATAGACGACTGATAAAAACAAAATAATTTCCCTGAGAATAAGCGCAGGTTATGCTTTAGTGTATCGTTGGCATTTCTTGGTTACCCGTCGGGTGAGTTTCTAATTCCCAATAATTCAACCTCACATACCAGAACTCACAGGTGGCAGTGGATGAAAATTGCAGAAAATACAGAAGACTTGCCTGGCGATAGAAGAGCCAGCAACCTCCCAGCTGAAGCTTCTTCAAAAATCTTCTCTGGCTGTTACAGTAGCTGCCTTGGTTCATTCCCTTCCCTGTTTCTCATGCAGCCCTCTCCAAGGCTCTCGCCTCTCCCAATTAATACGACTATGTAGAAACTCCTTTTAACCTTAGCCCACACCTGTAACTATATAATATGGGGCAAATCGTATGTAAAGATGAGTTACCAGACAATTTGGTGGACATCATTTATCCTAGAATAATATCTTTGATCACTAAAATAAAATCATTCTGGCCATTATATGTCTTGCATTTTTAAGATCTTTACTTTGATGAATTGGTACGATTTTAGCTGTCTCTATTGGAATAATGTGAATCCACTTTTAGAAATAATGTAAAACGTAGGATTTAATGAGTGCGCGCGCGCGCGCTCATGCTTTATGTTGAATGCAGAGTGGAATCCATGGGGTGTCCCAGATGATTATTAATGTGAAGTTGTTGAGAATGATGCGCCAATTCCTAAGCATATTCCTTACCATCGACCTCCTCCTCTCCCTGAAGAATTTTTCAAGACGCTAGAGGCTGCTTCATCTCAACCCAAAAAGGACACTCCTACGGTCAGCCAACGTGAATCAACCTCAAAGGCATGCAGCTCTATGCTAAGCAGTTCTTTGGTCTGTCGATTAACTTGATCAAAAGGAAATCACAAGAAAATTCCTTGTCTCTTTACTTTGTTTCATATAGGTGCGATTAGCATGTAGCTCTATCCACGACTTTGGTCTGTGCTCATACTCCCCCTTGTCATTGTGGACGAGATCCTAATGTCTGGGGAACTTAATAAATGGACGATTTTTTTTTTTTGGGCCTTTAGTGTATCTTCATTGGCTCAGGTATGTTGGATGATTTTGTGCATGATGGTAGAGATTAGAACAAAAGATAAGTAATGGAGACAAAAAAGGAAAAAGGAAAAAGACTTGCCAACTGAATGCCAAAAGCAGGATGAAGTGAAGATTTCTCACAGTTGTACTGGAAAAGAGTGAACGGAAAAGGGAACAGCAAAATGAAGAACACAGTCATCCCAATTTGTGTATGTTGTGAGACAAGACAACATCTGGATCTTTTGCTTGGTCGTGACAGGATTCCAACTTCCAACTTCATGCCACGCTTTAAATTCATGATACTCGTCTTTTTAGTTATTTATTTGAAATCTTTTACTTGTTAAGATAAGAAAGAGTTATTAGGTAGTTACAATGAGAGCTAATACAACACTATTTGAATGTGATAAGAAATTCTGATTCTGAGAAACTTTTGGGACGGTCTATAAAAAGGGAAAAATTGAAACAAATGATGTACTATTTGATAGCTTTAGATTTGTGGATACAGCATCTCTCAATATCTTTTCGTTGCCATTAAATTCTTTTCTTGTGTTGTCTTCTACCTGCAACAATTTTTTTTTTCCGGGTTAGATACCTGTAACAATTTATATATGAACCTTGCGATCAAAGGAAGGAAGGACATCAAGCTTCTTTTCCAGGACCAAACACACGTGCGCATTGATGATGCATAACTAAATTTAAGATAGGATCAGATTTCGATAATATTGTGATCAGAGTTGAAAACTTAAAATCCTCAAGATATAGCTGGAAAAAAAGTTAGGGTCTTTTAAAACAAAATTATTTTTTTCAAAAAAAAAAAAAAGATCATACACACTGACACTTTTAATAATCTCCTTTTTTCTTATTGATTGTTGTGATTCTGGCAATTGGACTTATTAAGTAAAAATTTCCTTGGTGATTACATGGTTATTTGGGATCATAAATGACTTCAATTGTCTGGAGCCCTTCCTGATTGCTGGAAATATTTTGAATGCTTGATCTTCTTTAGTGTCGCAAATAAAAGATTCTTCGGAGAGATTCCTGATTCACTGGGTACCCTGAGACAAATTCGAGAATTTCATTTTGCAAACAACAAACTTGCTGGTGAAATGCCATCCATTTGATGTTGCCGAAAACAATTTCTCTGGATTATTTCCAAGTTGGATTGGAGATGCACTGGGTTTGTTGCGTGTACTTATTCTAAGGTCCACTATGTTTGCTGGTAGCTTGCCCTTCAATATTTTCCATCTTTGTCAAGTTCAAATTCTTGATCTCTCCATGAAAAACATCTCAGGAAGTCTACCCAAATGCCTCAACAATCTTTCTGCTTTGGCTGATAAAACAAACTATGATGTGAGTATAAGTTATTCGGTTTTAGATAATGAACTCCGTGGTCTTACGGGAGTAGTGGTAGTGTTCGGGTTTTTAGTCAATTATTTATTCGAAGATAGCACATCACCTGTGTGAAAAGGTACATAAGCTACATATCAAACTATCTTGGGACTAGTGAAGAGTATTGATCTCTCCAACAACACGTCAACTGCAGAAATTCCAAGCGAAATGATGGATCTCGTTGGATTGGTTTCCTCAAACTTGTCAAGAAACAAGACTAACAGAGAAATCCCTCGAAGCATTGGACAGTTGGAGTCATTGGACTCACTTGATCTATCAAGAAACCATTTGTTTGGAAGAATTCCATCTGAATGTGCACATATAGATCGCCTCAGAGTAATGGACTCACCATTCAGTAAACTATCTGGAGAAATCCCACACGGAACGCAACTTCAACGCTTTGATGCGCCTGCTTATGTGGGAAATCTTGATCTCTGTGGAGCTCCCCTCCCTAGATGTCCAGCTAAGCAAGCTAGAGATGATCATGAAAATGATGGACTTGGTCTTGAAGACGATGATCAATTTTTCAGCCAATTAGTGTTCTACATTAGCTTGGCAATGGGGTTTATCTCCGGATTTTGGGCAGTTGGTGATCATTGGT